CCATGGGCGCAGGCCGCGGCCTGCCCGGCTGCCGCCCTCGAGCGGAGCGGGGCGAGGCGCCCGGCGCGGCGCCGCCGGGATCGCCGTGTTGCAAACGGCCCGTGGGGTCACGGAGCGCGGCCCTGGCCCCTCAAAGCCCTGCCCGTTAAACCGCGTCCCAAAGGGCTGCCGCCGAGAGTGACTCCACCGCTTCCCTGGGCAGCCTGTTCCAGCACCCGACCGCTCTTTCCATGCGGAAATTCCTCCTAATATCTGCCGTGGGGTTGAAACACCTGCAGCCAGAGCCCGTCCTCCCACACCAGTCTGCAGAGCACTGGGTGCTCTCTGATTTCCAGGGCAAAAACTGGGCAGTGGTGTAAGCATAAAACCTAAGGAAAAAAAAATAAAAATAGAGCACTTATGTTTCAGCCAGCTAGAAATGCGTTTAAACCTATGGCTCAACCGCTTGCACTTGTTTCACAGTAGTAAGATGTAGAGTTGGCATGGTACACATCAGCCTGGAGACCTTACTGACCGAGTAATCCATGGAATACTGAATATAATAAATAATCCATTGAATCCGTGGAATTCCGAGTAATTTGGAATCCATCCAGAACCAACTCCATTAAAATCCACAACGTGGAGCCCAGGARCTCTCGCTCCTGGGCTATCAGGTCCTGTGCCAGCCCGTGTTATTTCACAGATTTGTGCAACGCTGATGGGCATTGCAGGCAAGTTAAAAGCATTAAGTGCAAGCCGTTCTGGTCCCGTATTATTATCTACACATTAATCACCCAACGGGTGCTTACATCTGCATTTTTCTCACAGCAGCAGCTTCTGAACTTCAGCTCTTGAAAACAACCCACACTCATAGAAAATGAGCTCCAGACTACTGATTYTAAATCCATTCAATTTTTTTTTCTTAAAATAAGGGCACTTGGATCTGAAGTTTTTGAAAGTCAACTCTAATTTTAATTAGAGTTAATGCACTGGTTGTGTTCCCATTTACCTCCTATTTCTAGGTTTAAGTTATGATAAGCTATGGAATTAATGCGCAAGGGTAATTGAGAAAAGACTTGTGACAACCGCTGCAGTCAGCAGAGGTATTTTATGGATTTATTTAATGGAAGTTACTAAAACTGACCATGTAGGTTTATAGTTACCACTTGCACTTCCTAATTCCAAAATTCATAAGTCTTAAACACAAAAGTAGAGGACTATCTGAACAGCTAAGCAGAATGTGATGAACAACAGTAGAGAAGGTGATACTTTCTTGGAAACAAGATCACAGATTATATTTTCTTTGYGGATCCCCCTCTCAATTCATGTTAAGAACTGCCACAAGAGAGAGGATTATTAGGAGAAATACCATTAAGCACTGCATCATTCAGAAAACAGACCAGGACAACAATGATTCACTTCTTTAAAAAATCATATACATTCCACTAAACAGGGAAGGTAAAAGACTGCATAGAGAAAGAATGTAGTTCTATGAGTTTATATCTCAGCATGTTTTATGTCTACAAATGACCACATCAAAGGATGCAGCTTTAGATGAGATAAACCAAACAGAAGGGCTAGTGACAGAAATATTACAGAAGCAAAGCACAAGCTATGACACAAGTAACATGATGTCTGGTAAAACTGTGGAAATTATTTTGACRTGTGCTGGTTTTTGATTTTAGAAACTCACTAGAATTAGGCATCACAGTTCATATGAATRGTCAGTCCTCAAGATCAAGCACTCAGACAAACCACCGCTGAACCGTGTGGTTTACCACTCTAGATTGTGTTCTCCCTGTTTCCATGCACACCCATGTTTGTGTTTAGAGTGTTCTCCCAGGTTGGTCTTTTTTCAGGATAGGATGTTTTCCTATCCTGAAAATAAATAGAATTATTTTCCAGGCAGTAGTCTCAGCTGTGATCCAAGTCTCGTATGCAGGGTTGTGGGGAATGCCCTGGAAATGGCATCAGCGCTACAGCATCCTGTCTAGAGAGTTAATGAGCTGTGGTCTCAGTCAAAGTGGAGATCTCAATTCTGGCACCAGCAAAGGGGTACAGGAACTTGAAAGAAATTTCATTTCATGAGCTTAAGTGGGGATGAGAGGCAAAAACCCAAATCACAGAATCACAGAATGTTCAAGGTTGGAAGGGACCTCTAGAGATCATCCAGTCCAACCCCCCTGCTCCAGCAGGGACACCTAGAGCATGTAGCACAGGGTGGCRTCCAGGCGGGTTTTGAAGACCTCCAGAGAAGGAGCCTCCACAATCTCCCTGGGCAGCCTGTGCCAGGGCTCTGKCACCCTCACAGGAAAGAAGTTCTTCCTCACCTGCAGATGGAACTGCCTCTGTTTCAACTTATACCAATTTCTCCTTGTCCTGTCTCTGGCCACCACCAAGAAGAGCTCRGCCCCTTCCGCCCTACATCCTTTCCTCAGGTASTTACACATGTTAATCAGACCCCTCTCAACATTCTCCAGGCTAAACAGGCCCAACTCACTCAGTGTCTCCTCATACGAGAGATGCTCCATTCCCTTAATCACCTTTGTCGCTCTCCACTGGACCCTCTCTAGGAGCTCCACATCCCTCTTATAATGGGGAGCCCAGAACTGCRCACAGTACTGCACACAGTAATTAGTTAGTCAGAACACAGTCGTAGTAGTTATTATTATTAGTAGTAGTTAGTCAGAACACAGTTACCGTTTGCTACAGGCATGGCTCAAGTTATTATAATACTTACTATAATTAAAATTGTAATAGTTATAATATACATATATAATATATAATTATATAATTGTTATAACAATTTTAGCAGCGAAAGCACTTAAGGATAATCTGAATCCAATGAAATAAGCAGAGGAATTCTCTGGTTTTACGTGCTTTTTATTAATTTCTTGTAGTACTGACATAAAAATAGTAACTTATTATTTTGAAAGAGAATGTATATTCTACTGCTAGAACAAGCCAAAATGTTAAAAAGAATAACTGAGAAATGGATGTTATTAAAAAAAATCAAGGCAGGTTGCATTCTTCATCCATCAAAATGTAAGGAAAGAAGATGAGGGTCCAGAATGGCTTAGAATGTAATCTTGACTTCCAGTGAGGAGTTTTCTTTCTCTGTTACATGTTATATTAATAAATTAATAATGGCAGTGCTTCATGTATAGGGAATATTATCTAGCATGCTAGACAGCTTTTGCTTTATGGATTTTATGACACTGACTTGTTTAAATGCCAATTTAAAGCTGCCTATTATACAATAGCTTTTACCTAGGAGAAAACTGTTAGTACATTTCTGACTCCTTCAAAAAAAAAAAAAAAAAAAGCAGAGAGCACACCCAAATAATAAGCTGCCAAAGCACCCAAAGAAGAGAATAATATGTTGGGAGGAACAGGTAGAATGGGAGCAACTTCAGATTCCACAGATTTCCCTTGAAAATGTAATATGGAGGGCTCATATGTAATACGTAAAATGTAAATATAGTGCTTCTCTCAGCATTACCATAAGGTCTTGTAAAAGAAAAATACCATGGTGCAAACAGGTAAAAACTGTGCCTGAGAGACACAAAAGCAGCTAAATCAGGGATCTGTTGACATTCAGGAGCTTCAAAGGGGGAAGATGTCCTAGCATCACTAGAGTCTGGCAAAAGGATCAGCTTAAATTTCARTCTCCCTATAAACTTTTCTTGGTTTGTTAACCAAATTTATAACTCAGGGCTGTTTAGGCCAGTACGAACACAGTAGAAAACGTCCTCAAAAGTTGTCCTATCAGTTCCAGAGCCAGCTGCCTGTTTGCAGTTTCATAGTTACATGAAAACAGATATGTATTGAGTGTTCACTAAGGGACCTTCAAGGTGACCTCCGATTATGTTTAATCCGTTAAAGAGAGCTGCCTTTTTTACATCAGAGAACTAGCTTTGTTACATCTACAAAATTTTTCAAAGACCAGTTTGTGAGTTTCAGAATATGGTCTTAATGCTTAGAAACTTCCTTCATTGGCAGTGAACTGAATTCACAGGTAGTGTTTAGAAAACAAATGAGAGGGAAAAAAAGCAGCAGGCAGTGTAGAGCCATAAGAGCCTGCACTGGCGTGTGAGGAGCAACCAGGGTACAGGAACTCCCTTCTTCCTATTTTATAGTGTATCTCCATCACAGCGAGTCTCATGCAGGGGCAGTGACCACTGCTTTCTTGGGAATACTTCAGGAGAASGGGTGTCTGTTACAGCCCCTCTCTTCCTCTGGGACATTTGTCAGCGAAGTACATTGGACTCCAGTTGTTTTAAGTGTTAGCTGGCAATAGGAGCAGCTCTGATTCCTTCAGTCTGTTTTTCAGCTCTTTATGATCCTGAAGCTGCTTAGGAGACATGGATAACCTGGCGTAGAGAATCACACAGCTGAAGGGCGAGCAATGTTGAGTGTCGCAGTCTGTGCTGGACATGATGGGTACAACCCTACAACAAGACGACAGGAGGTTCTGGYCACATACACGCTGCTGTGTTCCCAAAGGAAGATAGTTTGTGTGAGGTGTCCACAGGTAGGCACCACAGGTAGGCAAACTATCCAGTTCCTATATGGAAAAGAAGTCATTTGTTCTGAAAAGAGTATGTGAAGAAGTAAAATGAGCGGCTGTCTTGTACAAGAGCAAGTTATTCCACGGCTGTCTTGTACAAGAGCAAGTTATTCCACGGTGGTGTGTGCTAACTTGCTCCTGAGCCAGGCAGCTCTTCCTTGCTCTAGGCTGTGATTCACAGCAGTGAAACGACTTTACCCTGAGAGCAAGGCAGGCTCAGAAAGTGTGTGCTGCGTGGCAAAGGGGGATATCTAAAGCAGATGGTGTCAGAAACAGGAAAAAAGGTGGGGACTTGGTTTGGGGAAGTCTATAGCAGCAAGGGCTGTACCTTTTGTTTCTCAGCCACATCATTGCAAACTTTGGCATTGTAACATAGCCACTTGTGAGACAAGCCCAGAAGGCTCACCACCACGGAGGACTATTTAGACATCACAGCTTAGCTCTTGTTTCATCTGCATCCATTGCATGCTGCAGATCTCAGTTGCTCAGAGATTCCTCCATACTGCCATGACAGTGAAAGAACTATTCTTAAAGCAGAAAAAAAATCAGGTAATCACTTGTCAATATTCCATGGCAATAAATATAACAAGCTCAAACAAGCTCTGGATGGTAAGGCAAGCAGCATGGTACACTGTGACCAYGTAATTTCTCTTCTCCTTCCAACCCCAGGTTGACTGCTGTCTACAGAGAGCAAGTCCTGGCTTGGGCCATTGGAGCATTGCCTGGGAATTGCCAGGCCTGGCCCTGGCCGGGGACCCCTAAGGGCAGCCTCAGGGCAGCGCGCAGGCCTGYGGCTCTGCTCCCTTGGGCTCACTGGCAGACATGGTGGATAGGAAGGCCTGTGGTGCGCGGGATCGCACTGCGGACACGTGTACCTCATTCCCAGCCCTGGTTTGGGATTACTCCTGCYAGCTCTCTTCAGGGGGCTGACAGCAACGAGCCTCAAGCAGTATGGATGCAGGTGGGCCCTTCCCACTTGGCCCTCCTTTAGTGGTATAAATGAAGCCAACGAGTATCGATGGGGTGGCCTCAAGAGAAGCTGAAGATCAGCACTTCACTTTCAGACTTTCACCATCTTCCTGATGATGGTCAGTTGGCAGACCCTATAAGCTCTTTAACACATTATTCTCCCTTGCGCATAGTATTACCTTAAGTTTTATCAAGTTTCTGCAAAGGGTACAAGGCAAAGGCACACTGTGTAAAAGAGATAAAAGTTACAGTGTTGAAATAGCATTAGTATTTGATCTAATAGAGGAAATTCARTTTTAGATTAACTCAAATTTATGCAGTTCAGTGTTATCACTATCTCAATGTTATTTTAAAATGTTCCTGTATTGCATGAACAGGAAAAACTCTCATATGCATTCACTAGCATTAAGACTAAAGTGTGGGGAAAAAAAGCCTTTTCTTCCATATAAGAATTCATGGATATTTTTTATACTTACAGACAAAACAGATTACTTTCATGATAGATGTTCAGTTTTAGCTTTGAAAAAACTTATCCTGTTAAAATAGAGATATCTTTTGTAAGAGAGACACTGAAGCCTAGGTTTCAGAAAAGTTACTCACTTAAAATTGTTTTTTAGCACGGAACAAAGAGACATTGTGGGCATGGATATAAAAAGTCACTGCTGTGCTGAGGAAGAGACGTGCAGGACACGTCAGCAAAGCCTGTGCCCTGTGCAAAGCCACCCTCTGCTGGCCAGGGCTGCTCCTGACTTGAGGGCAAGAAGACTTGTTTTAACACTCCCCCGGAATACCTCGGTTCATTTAAAAGCTGTTTTTGTTTTCACTTTGCAAATGGTCAGATAGCAGCTTTCAGTTCCCGGGAATGTATAATGTTACTGCGTTTGCTTCACTGAAACCTGCCATCCCCTTCAGTGGTTGCTTTGCCAAACCTGTACCTTCGCTCAGCAAAGCAATGTTTATCGTGTTGCGAAATTGTCAGGAATAATTTATTGTGGAACTGACATCACACCTTTGGGATTAAAGAGTCTAAATTTTGTCATGTTGTTCCCTACGAAACCTTATAAAGCTGGTAACCTGCCTGTAAGATAATGCAGTCTGCAGAACAAAACATTATTTTGGTTTTGGACTGGATGAATGAGCCCAGGCCTTGGCACAGATCATCTCATGCCTGTTACTTTATAAATACCAAACTGACATTGAAGGGCACATACTAAAATCCTTAACCAGTAAATCCTTGATCAGTTGCTTCTGCTCTACCTCATCACGATTAAGTGCCTGGGATTTTGTGACTTTTTAAGACTTTCCTAAGGAAATGACCCAACCCAAAGTATCTAGACTTGAATTTGACATTGCTCTTACCAGGTTTTATTCACATACTTTATATACTTTTATAGCTCTTATTTTTTCAAAAGAGGAAATTAATCTATAAACTCATATTAGAATAAAAATATATTCAACCAATGGAAACAATTTCTCCAAGCTTTACTAATTTAAGCATTCTTATCTTTTGATTAAGTTGTATAAACTACATTTTATTTCTTTGTGTGATCATGGATTGAGAAATGTTATCTGTGCAGTCAAGGCCATCACAGCTAAATAAATGCCATTCTTCATGAACTTCACTAAAGACACTCAGTGTCATTGTTAAAAGGAATTTTACCTTTTTCATAGCCCTATAATGCAACTTAAATATAAAATGGGTACTATTTCATAACATTCCTTGGGCAATGGCAACTTAGAGCACACACATAGTGTATCAGTATAGAAGATAAAATAGCAGACTCAAACTGTCCTTTAAGCCAGCAAGAATATAGATGCACTTGAAGAGGTATGTGAAAATGTCTTCTTCAATAATGGTGCAGCTAAAATGTTAAAAATGTCATGCACAAGCATAGCCCACAACAATTTCTAATCAACTTGAAGAAAAATGTACTGCTACCATACACCATTCTTCAGATCTTGTGAAGAAGCTAGGCACAGATTATTCTTTCTCCACAGAAACATATATTTAAAAACAATCATATTTCTATTTTCATTTGTAACATACAGGGCTGCTTTCTGACAAAGTAATCTAGCTCTAATGTAGCCTATCTAGTGGAATAATACAGTGACATACTACCTCAAATATCAAAGAAAAGCACTTTGATGATATATAATGGAATGCATTTGTCAATCTAATAACTGTAGAAGAAATATTGCTAAGTTCTGGAAGAATGAGAGCAGAACACTTTTAACRGTGTTTGCCCAAAGCAGCCAAAGGCAGTAGGAGCTCTGGATGATGGTGTTTCTGGCTCTGCTGTCTTTGCAAAATCCATTTTAATTACTGCTAGTTTTATGAAGGGAATGCAAGATAGGTTTTGGCCACAGGATGCCTTAGGAAAAAAAATGTAGACCATAGACAGAGATGTATATAATTAAGATTTAATAAAAAAAAATTATAGTCATATAGTGCCTTCCATCAACACATGTGCTTTAGACACAGGCTAGGTGACACAAAACACAACTACCCCCATTTGCAAAGACTGTTCATTACTCTGTTCCTTAAGCAGCACTAAAAGCCTAAGTGACCTTCTCAAGAGCACATAGAATGCTCAATATAAAAAGTAACCTAAATATCCCTTTTCTGACGGAGTCTGCATTCACACATTTTTTCCCCCCATCAGTAAGTTGCAATGAACTCTTTCGGAAGAAAAGTTCAATTCACAAAGCAACCTTTAAGCCCACGCATCTTAACACGGCTCTGGCTTTAATTTTTTTTTTTTTCCTGTAAATCTATCTTGCTCGTTTGCCCCTCCTTTCGGGAGTTAAGCATCTTACATGCACGGTTTAAACAAGACCCTATATTTTATACGGCGTCTTCCTTTGGGTTTAGATGGCTGCTCGCTCGGCTCCGAGCACCCGCTCCCCCGCAGGGCGCATGCGCGCCCGCCGCACCGCAGGCGGCCGCCTCCCCGAGTGACGTCACCCCCGCCCCACCCCGCCCGCCCAATCAGGCACCGCGGCGCCAAAGCGGGAAAGGGAGGGGGCGCGCGAGGAGCGGGCTTCCCCCTGGCCCCGCCCCCGCGGGACTCCCCTGCCACGTGACGGGGACGTGGCCGCCGTGTCGGGGGGGGCGATGCCCAGTAGGAAGGTACCTGGGCGCGTGGGGGGGGGGGTTGGGGTCCGTGCGTAACGGCCGCGTGACGGTCGCGTAACGGTCGCCGCGGCCTAACGGCCGGCGCACCCAACGGCGCCTCGGGCTTGGCGCAAAGAAGGCGCCYGCGGGCGGCAGTGCAGACCCGCCCGGGCTTTTCCCCGCGCCTGGATGGGCGCGGCGATGCGAAAAGCCCCGGGGCGGCGGGTCGCACTGTAGTGTTCCCTGGGAGCGGTAACGTGGGGAAGCTCCAGCCCTCGGTAATGCAGCCTCTGCCGCGGGGCAAGCACTCGCTTTGACCCGCCGTCTCCAGGCCTGCCCTCGAGGTCGCTAAAACCGCGGGGAGAGGAGGAAAAAAAAAAAGTTTAACCTGAGTCCTTTGAAAAGCAGACTACTGGGGGAATTTTGTACAAAGCAAACGGGGRCAGCCCCACACATTGGAGGAGCTTGGCAGCTCCTGCCAAGTTTGTGATGGTTTGGATCGGGTTATAATTGTGCTAAAATGACCTTATGGTTGTAGTTACACAGCAAAAGTGTACACATGCCTCCAGTGAGCAAAGACTGTAGTTACTCTCAGGGTTTTTGTGTTTTTTTTTATTAGGTGTCATACAGAAATAAGTGTGTGCAAAGGTAAACTGCAAGAGGAAAAGAGATTTTTTTTTTTCCAAATTGCAGCGTTTAATATTTTGCTTTCTTGTGAAAACAAAACTTATTTTCTTTGGGCATTGAAGAAATAGAGTAGTGGGAGGAGAAGGAGGCATTGAAGAAATAGAGTAGTGGGAGGAGGCATTTCATCAACTGTTTTCTATCTTCTCACTTAGGTGCTTTCGCGCATTTGATGAGACTTCCAGCATAGTAAGCAGGATGCAGTTTCTGTCTGATTAATAGTGGTTATGCTGGTGTAAAGGTACTGCTGAAGGGCATTAGACATGCTAAGAGCCTCATTGTTGCTTGCTAAATAAATGCAAATAGAGTTTAAATGGCAAACTTAGTCTCTAAAACTTTTTATTTAGCGTGTGTATGGAAGTAGTGTGAATATTCCTCCTACAYTTAATTTGAAATATGAATACATTCTAAATGTGGTTTTCTAAAATGAAAATATTAAGATATTTAAAAAAACTCTAATTCCCTTAAATTATGTAGTAATGCTGACACTGCATTTTTTTAAAATGTTTTAAACTCTGCTMCATTGATGTCGAACAAGATCTTTTTGCAATGTAAGTACAGTTTCTGATGGTAATAGTTTCTTCTGAAAGCAAAAATAATATTATTCCTTACTATATCCATCAAAGACATAYTGATCAAGACAGCAATCTTCTCCACTCACTGACTTCTCCATGAGTTCAGCTCTTTAAAAGCAAAACACAACATAGGTTTTTATGTATCCTAAATATTTTGAGTAAATTAATCTTGTAAAAGCTTTTCTAAAGTACTTCTGTTTTGATAGAATCCAGATTATTCTCAAACTGTAGCTTGACATCATTCATGAATGAAAAGTAAATTTTAAAAGTTTTCTTTTTCCATGAGGCATTTTTGTTCAATGTAAACATCTATTGCATACCCAATTACCTAAATAAGCATATATAGGTTTAAAAATGTTATTGAAAATGTACATATACATATCACACAATGAAAAGATTTTCATTAAGTGATAAAAGTCAACAAAGGAAAAACTTTAAAGCTGTGATTTAAAACAGTTGGTCTTATCCATCGACAATAATTTAATTTTTTTTTCAAAATACTTTTTAATTGCATGCTGATGGTTACTACAAGGCAGGTCAGATCATTGTGACTGTCATTGTGCAATTTTTTTTTTTTTTTAAACACATGATTGCACTTGATGATATCCCTTCTCAGGATCTTAACACTTGAATGGTCTTTGGAAAATATATGTACTTATTTTCATAGGAATAAAAAAGGGTTTTGGCTTGAGTAAATAGACACTACAGTTTTAAATCTATAATCTTTATTTGAATCCTTGCTTGAGTCAGAAATGCAAAAATACCTAAGGGTTTGAAAGAAACAAAAACTTTACATTCTATCCAGGCCCTGAAAGCAGCGACAGTGCTKTCAGGAGGTTGGTAGTAGAAACACTGAATTTTGCTGAAAATTAGGTGGCTGTTGTGAAAATTTAATTTTTTGTTTGTTTGTTTTCATGGGCCTTTTTAAAGCTCAAGACTCACTTATTTTACTTTGAGGAATTACTTTTTTTGAAGTCTGTGTGCACAGAGGTGGAGATGAGAATAGATGTTGGTCAATGTCTGATCTTGCCACGTGCTTTTTCTTGGGATTGTCCCTTCAGAAGTTTTAAAATRAAATGCACGCATCTTGGGGAAACTGGAGCTGAAACTTTGAGCACGAGAGTGCACGGAGCTGTGCAGCAAGTGGTCTTTGAACTGGGCCAAGGACTTCTGCTTAGCAAATACTTGCGTGAGGAACAGTATGTCAATTGGTTGGGTAAAGATGTTCTAGATAGGCCTGCGTATTTAAAAGTCAAAACCAACCCCCTGACTGTCATCACCTTATTCTTTGCGTTCAGTGTATAATCGTTACACGTTTACTGAATTTTCACCTCTGATTGCTTCCCCACTACATCCCCCTCCCTCCCTCCCCCCCCCAAAATATAGGTAACTTAATGCTTTATCTCACTGAAGGAATAATGGCCAAAGGATTATGTTYTGTGTGTTTTGCACGGAGGGCTGGATCCTACTTTCACTGACACCAGCATGAGGAGTTCCTGTTCACTCCGTTAGAAGGAGCTGTTCAAAGACAAAATGCAGTACTTCCTAAATAAAGGTCAGCAGACAATTTCTGCATAAGTTGGCCAGTGTAGTTGCTCTTTTTTAAATTAAAGATTTTACGAGTCACATTTTGTCTCTGGACATTTTACATAATTCACAAGTTTTTTTGATTAACTTTTTGTTTTGTACTATTACTTTTTTTTTTAATGAGGAACACCAAGTCTACATGATCTAGCTATTTAGAGCCAGATTCAGTGTTTTTTTTGTTTGTTTTTTTAATACCAGATATTTTGCTTCTAAGCACTTCATTTCTAGCATTAATAAATTACACAAGATACTTTTGATATCTCCTGTTTTTATGCCAGAGGAAAAAGACTATAATTAACCTTGTGAATCAAGGTTAGGAGAACTCGCTGTTGTCACTTCATTTCTTTGGGAACAGCATGTCCTTGGGATTAGCTTTGTTATAAATATTTATTATCGAGGGAAACTAGTTCAATTAAATACTCGTTTCTTTGCTTCCCTGAAGCAGAATGGAACGGAAGTGGAGAGCCATTAAAATGGTCCATTTTTGTGAGCAAGCTGATGCCTTGTCGAGGTCCTGGGGAGCTGGAGCCACGGGACCGGCAGCTCTCCGGTGCCTAGTGGGGCAGAGCCCTCGGCTGGTGAGCCCCAGCCCAGCCTTTGCCAGGGGCTCCTGTGTGCTGTGAGGCCGGGGTGTGTGGGGCCCCCCTTGGCTCTCACTGTATTTGGGAGGCCTTTGGTCCAGGATGAGCTGTGTGTCTTCAATCTTGTATATTAGCACCTCCTTTTCAGTGCATGTAATGCTTGAATTACAGCTTTTTAATCAGAATTCGTATATATGCCTCAGGCTTATGTGTACACATAAATATTGCTTTATACATGCTGAAATCATATACTTGTTGCACAGCATGTTTTTCTTTACACAATTAGTCTGTGTGTGTGTGTGTGCGTGTGCCTGTGTGTACACAACATGCAGTGCTGCTACCAAAGGCTCAWGTCTCAGTAACTGAGGTGAGGCTGTAGGCCCAATTTCCATAATTCACATCAGATATTTCTTTAGAGTTTTAAGATGTCTAGGAGTTGGGGGTGGAGTTGTCTTTGTTTTGTTTTGGGAATGCTCTTGTTGTTTTCAAAGTGGAATAAGCTGTGGAAAATAGTGGAAAGGCATTACTGTCAACGTCAGAAGTAATGAGTTAACTCCTTTTCTATCCTCCTCCAGTTGTGTTTGCCAGAAATTTGTGATGGTTAAAGGAAAAGAGGCAGTACTTCTCTGGTTTCTGGTTCTGGGGCTTTGGGAACTGTTTTCAGTGTTTCTTAGTGCCTGCAATAGCTGTAAATCGCTTCTTGGTGTTAATAGAAACTGTGAGATTTTCTTGTGCTTGCGTGCCCAGCATGTGGCAAGGCAGTTACTAGGGGCCAGCAGTGCTGACAGTTCTTCAGGCTGTAACTGAGGGGGCACCACGTCACGCTGCTGCTAGGCTGGTCCYTCTAGCCCCTGCCTTGCTGCTTCCTCCGTGCCAGCTGCAGGTAACTCTCAGTGCTTCCCCAGCAAGGTAAGTTTTGTGCCACTTTGATTCCCTGTCACCAGCTGTGCACAGGGACCCATGAGTGCCAAGTGCAGCAGCAAAGGAGAGGGGAGCCATGCAGAGCAGGACTGTGGTTTGTGATTGTCATTAGGCTGCCGCATTATAGTGCAGAAACACGTAGGAGCTCGTCCCTGTAGCTCTGCTCTGAAACTTGATCAGCACCCATGTTCACTCAGGCCAAGGAAGAGCAGGATTAAATAACACTTCTCTGCTGTTAAAAGTCATTCACTATTAAAGATATTTTTGCATATCACAGTCACGGCTCTGGTGGCCACTGATGGCAATATTTCCAGCTGTTTCAAAGTAACTTCTAGTGCCTCGTTATTTTGCATTAATTAGCAGTGCAGCGTGGTTCTGCACTGGGTAGGACAGCTAATATCTTAGTAGCTGTTACTTAGGCTTGAASTTTCAAAAGGAGTTTAGGTTTGCTGTTCCATCTAAAGATAAACATGATAACTAGACCATCTAAGCATACAAAAAAMCTGCTTATTCATATTAGCTTCTTTTGCTTGTATCTATTTGAAAACTTACCCTTTCTGTATACACTTGAACTCCTCTTAGCTGCTATAGAGAGGGAAATTAATACATTAGATTTTATCCTGTCCTCTTTTATACAGTGATTTCTTTCCATATCTTGGCAGTGGTGAAATGCTGACTCTACTGTAGGTACCATGTTCTGCTGTTCTTGCTCTGCCTCTTACAGTGTGTGTGTGGGGGGGGTTGCCCCCCCCCTTTTTTTTTTCTTTTAATCCACTGGTGCTGCCCAGCATAACAAAGCAGAGTAATTCTGTACAAAGAGATTGGCTGAGGTCACGGATGACATGGATATGCATGAGAAACTTAACAAAATGCAGAGTAATTCTATAGTTCTGCGTTTATTAGGCCTCTCAACAATAGAAATATATTATGAAGTTTATTTTATGTAACTCTTCATGAGTATGTTTGTGTGTGGATTTTTTTCTGTTTGTGACTTTTTTTTGCTTTTAATTGACCATTGAAAGCAATTTATTGTGAACTTGCGAGTGAGTCATAGTGATCTTACATAGTGATCTTATTGGCAGATAAGTGTCCTTTCAAAACTGGAATGGGCCATTTAAGAAGGAAAGTGCAGTTACATGAACTGTGTTTTGCTTTCCCATGTGCTATAAGCTTTTGTCTCTAAAATGTGTCATACTAAAACCCCTTAGAAGCTATGATAACATAAATGTAAGCAAGCCTTCCAGCATTTGCCAAGGTAAAAACACAAACGGACAAATAACTTTTTTTTTTTCCCAAAAAAAGTTACAATGACTTTTCAGTTTTATCCTTCTGCTTTCTACTAGGTAATAAAGAGATTTACTCTTCATTCAAATTGATAGCTATGTAATCTGTAATGAGGTAACAGCATAGGATTATATATGTGTCTCRTATTGTTGTGTGGATTTTTGTGAATAATCTCAAGCTTGAGCAGTGCCCCCTTTGCTCTGTCTCATAAGGCAGCTCAGGCCAGGATGTGGTTATGAGCAGTGGTGCCCGGTTGGCAGTACTGCTGACCCTCACGCCCTCCCTGGAACAGTTCTGCCCCCAGCTGTCGCCTGTCCCATTTTTTCAGGGGACAACACAGGCCTGCTTAGAATTGGCGGTTACGAAAAATACCACCTACTTTGGGGGACAAAGAAGTGAAGAGAATGSTGATGGCTGGACTGAGGCGTCGCTGGGACGAGCTGCCCTTGCTTGTTGGAAATTGGCCTTAGCTTGGTTCAGTTATTAGTGTTCCTATAGTCCCTGCAGAGTACTTATAAGCCGTACTTACAGACTGCAAAAAAGACAAAATCTGCCAAATGCTTTGCTTTTGCATTTTTTTTTTTTAATTTGGGATGTATGTTATAGTCTTGATTTATCAACCTGGCTAAGAATGTGTGTTCCAATGAACTTTGTCACTTTGAAGGATTTACTTAGTTAAAATGTATTTCTCTGAGCTGTTCCTATTTAGGATAATATTTTCAGATTCACTGGACAGTAAACAGGTATTACAAATGTAACAGATCAAAAGAAAGTTATACAGTTATCAAATATTGTTTTGATTGTTGTCTATAAAATGATTCCAGGTGTTCAGGATTTTTTTCCCCCCCCATTTCATTAAAATTCAGATTTTATGTTTGCAAATGTTCAGGAAAAAGGGGCTGGCCAGGTAGACTTCACCTGGAGAGAATTGTGTATGCATATTTAGTATCTTTAATGGCTTTGTTTTTTTTTTCTTCCTAGCGGAAGCGGTTATGGAATGCAGCATGCGCATCCTTCCCAGATGAGACACCCCTCCAGCTAAAAAAATCAAATGTCAGGGCATCAGTCGCTGGTACTTCAATTTCCAATTCCTGGCTTAGGTGTGGGGATGGATTTCAGAGCACTTCTGTGCTTGAGGTAAGATGAGGACTTACTTGCAGCATAACGGATTCAAACTAACAGCTAAAGAAGTTCCATGCTTGGCTGAATTAGATGTGACCCTTCTTTTAGTGTTATGTTAACTCTCGATGTAGACAAAAATGGAAAGCAAGGTTAATTAAGGACGTTGTCTTAGTAGCATAATTCTCTGCACATATGTTAATATGTTATATTTTGGGTGGCATTTATGACTTGGAAAATTGCAAAACTACGCTTGGACAGGCACAAATAATTTACCACTAAATATGGAGAACTGCCTTTCCTTAAAAATTATGGAACAAGAAGAGTCTATTTTTCACCTGACAAATTTGTCTTAGATACAAAAACAATTTTGCAAATATAGTCTCACTGAAGATAGTTTAATGTTCCTGTTGATGTTGGTGATCCTGGTGTGGATCACGATACACTTGGTAAAAAGGATGATATATTAATTTTTATTATGCTTAATTTATTTAAACACTATTTAATTTTCTTCAACATCGGTCATATGTTCACCCAGCCCTGAGTGAGAAGCGCTGTGTACTGAAAATAGTCTCTCTTTGGGTTTTTCTGTTTCTTYTGCTACAAAGCAGTCATGGGGTTGCTTAGCTTGTGGGATTGGATAAAATCAGTTAGGACCATTGAATACTTCTTTCTGGAACCTTTGAATAGGGCATATGCTTTATTAAGCTCTTACTGCCCACTCTTGACATTTTAATGCTGAAGATAGTGACTCTTGTTCTTTGCAAGGTCAGATGTAATTTCTGTCATAGTCACAGGAAGACTCTATGTTCCAAAACAAGAAAAATTTGTTTCTTCTGTTACTATTCTTTCATGAATTGTTATCGTATTTGTTATATCGAGTTATATAAGTTTTTGTGGATGAACAAACAATTCTGATGAGTATAATACTCTATGTTAAAATTGGCCATTAAATTTCCCTTTTTTCTCTCTCTTTGTAGTCTCTGAAACCTACTGATAAACAAGCCAGGATTAAGAAGCATCTTGCACCACTGCTAACATCCGCTGAAAGCACAGTAGGTAGGTTGTGGCTGTTTGGTGTTCACTTTGTCAAAAGACTAGATCAAAAGATTTAACTTTGTCTTTTTCAAGTAGAATTGGAACTGATTACTTTCTTCTTTTGCTATTATAATCTGTTCATACAGAAATTAATTTTGTGAAGAGACATAATTCCAATACATAATTTCCTCCTCTCTTCACTTAGAGTATCAGAAATATTTTCACAGTGTTGATGGAACTTCAGCTATTGCTCTTGAACAGATGGCAGAAGCATCAGTAATGCTGTAGATGCTGTGTGCTCTAGCAGGGGCAGGATATTTTAATTCTTTAGGTTTTTAGGGGGAGGGAGGATGAAAAGCAACCCTTAGGTGTCTAGATAGACAGTGAAACAATTCTGTTCTGTCTAGAGACACACAGGGAGGTGTAGATGAGGAAAGGTTGGGTTTTTTTTTTTGTATGAAAAATGGACAACAAAACTTCTTCAACTGCCTGGTTTCAGTCTTCTGTATGTTCCTATGTACCTTAATCCTTTTAATACCATGTTAAAAATAACTCCCGTCRTAATGAAGAGGAGGAACATTTATAGATGCTGGCTGGTTCTTTCACTTTTTTGACTCCAGAGGAACAGAAGGAGTGAGAAATGGCTTCAAGTTATCCCTCCTTTGGGAGTTGAAAATAATACTCTTCCAGGTTTCTGAAAGGAATGTTTATATGTTGAAAGCAGGGATCTGTCTCTCTCCTTGGCCTTCCTGCCTCATCCCAAATACCCCATAGTTGTCTAACTTCCCATTTACTTGAAAACTTTAGTAGTGGGAAAATGGTGAAAAATGGTGTTTTCTTATGCTTGCTAATACTGAACAATCTACTATTAAGCATTAACCATTTCTTTTATATAAAAAGACAGTATTTTGAATTAAGTATCTTTCACTTCAAAAACGTAACATTTTCTTTGCTACCTTTGAAAAGGTGTTGTTTTTTCTCCTTGTGGCAGAACTCTAATGGAGGGATGCTTAAGTTCATTCATTATCAGTTGTATAAAGTAAGGGAAGTCCAAAATCCAGAAGTGTACGAATGGTCTTCATTTAAACCATGTAGTATTTTCAAGGGGCGCATGAGGACTGTGAGTAGAGGACTTATGTGAGATAATCATTTCTAGTCCTTGCTCTGATGAACAACATAACATGTTCGTGGAAATGGAAGGGTTAGCATTTAGCGTGGAAAACTGAAATAAAAATAACCCTGGTATGTATGAGAAGTGTCTGTGAGTTAACAATACTTTATTGGTGCTCTGATGCTTGGGAACAGAACTGATAATATTTTTCTAGTTCAAAAAGCATGTAGCTTAACTTTTTTAAAAAATTATCAATATTACTTTTCTGTAATATTTTAATGTTTTGTAATCCTTTTTAATAGAATCTTCTGCTGCCGCAAGCTCAAAGGAGTCCGAGGACATAATATGGAGCTCTAGTGGCAGTGATTTTTCAGATGATGAAAAAACTCCATCAATTTCAAGGTTATGCAATGAAAAAAGTCATACTTCTAAAGCAGAGAAATCGTACAGCAGACCTGATTTATTGTCAGAAGACAGAAGTGGTGAAGGTAAGGTTGAGCGCAAGCAGATTTGTCAAGAAGTTTGTCTTAAATGTCATAATGAAAATACTTGGAGGCTATTTGAACAGAATGGCAAGATCTGACGCTTTTTAGTTAAATCAGTTGTTTTTTTATCTACCCATTTCATGGGATTGTAGAATAAGCTGTTACTAAAAATAATGTTAAGGAAAAAAAAAAATCAAAACTTTGGGGTAAAGGATCAGAGTAGGGTAGGTTGTTCAATATCAAATGAAGCAGGTCAGCTCGTTTCAATATATTACAGTTATTTTTGTACCATTTCCTTGTCTGTGCTGTGTTATTGATGCTGGGCTTCATCTGCCTGGTCTGTTCCCTGGTGGTACTGCTGCCTGCCTCCACTGGCTTGATGTAACAGGCTTTGCAGCTGCTGTTAGTAGCATTTGCTGTGCTATGAGTTTGCATTTTAGTACACAGTATTCCTTGTTCCCCATTAGCTGTCTGTCAACAACAATGAGTTTTGTTCTTATGATTCGTTTTCTGATTCAGGAAGCAGGGGAAACAAAAGAGAAATGTTAATTTGGTGCAGTTCTATAACTCTTTTTCCTTCTTGTTGAAATGGAAGGACTGTCCATTTCTTAGACTATAATATAATACTCTTAAAAATCTTATATATATTTGCATTATTGGCAAAAGCACAAAAAAACAGGAGGAGATTTTTTTCTTCCCAGCAACTTATGGCCACATGTTCAGGTGGACTTGGAGGGTGATGACGGCCCCTTGGAGGCTGAATTCATAGATCCTTAACCCCATCCACAGTTGGGGCAAATGGACTCTTGGAGCTGCATTAAGCACCCAGTGGTTGTGAGGCAGGAATCCTCGGATGTGCTAAAGTGTTTGAGTCACAGACTCAAACATAGTGTTTTAGGAGGTCACCGTTTCAAGTAGCCTTTTTGTTTCTCCGGAGTTTCCGTCTCTTAGAGCAGACATTAACATATACCCCCTTGTCAGCTGCTCCAAGTAACTGTCTGAAGCATTTGATTAAAAACAGTTAATTGTGGACAAGTACATTTTGAAAATCTAATGCAACAGGACAAACAAACAAATAAAAACATACAAAAACCATAAAACWAATTTTATATTTATTTATATTATACATTATTTATATTTTAAATATTTTAATATTTATAAAATATTAACTTTTATATTTACATAATAATTTACATAAACTTCCAGTTTACATAAATGTCCAGCTTTACAGAAATTTCCATTGCCTAATAAAGGATTAAGCTTTTGTGAGAGAGAAGGTCACATTCAGCATCTATAAAAATAGTTAAGTATTGAATGTGGCCAACAAAATAATGTTGCATTTTTCTTCTGTTAATTGTTGTATTTGCTTGAATTCATACTTACTAATAATATAGGACTGACTATTAAAAATGTCTTGTAACAAATATCTTTAGATGAACCCCAGTTCATTGAGTGGGAGAAGGATAGTGATTCCAGTGGTAGGTGTGATGGATCAGAAGGCAATGATGGTTGCCTGGAAATATCAGACTCTGACTCCTGTGCAGATCAAAATTCTTTGCCTGACAAGGAGGAGAATGAGGGCCTTTATAAGGTGAGATTTTGTTTTTATTTTTCCCTTAAAAAGCATTAGCCATAATTCTGGAGTATATTTATATGTGTTTAAATCATATCTGGAAGCATGCGAGGTTTTCCTCTAGCCCTTCCCTTCCAGAGGAACTCTGTGTGCGGGGAGCTCAGATGCCAAAGCCCAGGCCAGACCGTGGTCGCGCCGTCACGGCGCCTCTGGAGAGCGCGTCACGGAGGCTCCCCAGCCGCGCAGCGCAACCTCGGCCTGTGGGCTCTCCTGCGCGGTGGCAGAGGACACTGTTTTCCTACGTTCCAACTGGCTTTCCTGCGTTTCCCGCTGTGTGTGTCCCGCGCGGGGCCGCCGCGCCGCTGCCGGCAGGGGGCGCCAAAGGCCGCGTCCCGCGGCGGACGGCGGC